GTCGTCTGCGTTCTGCCGTCTGAAGCCCAGCTCGGTGTCGGTTCCGGGAATCTGCTGAATGCGTGGGCTGCTAACTCTGAAGAAGAGCCTCATGTTCTCTCCATTCATTCTCGTCTCTCTTTAGAACCCTTTTTACTTTCATGTCTCCTCCACAGCAGCTCTCTCAGGTGTATTATCGGTCTCTGTGGTTCCGACCCTTCACCTCCACTATTGAACGCCAGCAGGGATTGAACTTCTTAGCGGCCGATCGGCTCGCTGTATGTCGCTGCAGATAAAAGCCGGAGCTTAGTGTTGAAAATACAGAGCAGAGATTTGTGCTCAACCTTGTCCTGTCGGTACAACTGTGTCCATCTGAAAGCCTGATCCTGCGACTGCTGCATTTTAGAGAAATGTGAGGTCAGGACCTGCTTCTGTGCTGTTAGTGCTGCACTCTTTCAGACAGACATATCCAGCTGCAGAGGTTCACGGAGACCAGCCTTCAGGTACAATCGCTGCCTTACAAATTCCCACTCATTCTACTGACACACATTCAGAAGCTGCTTCCCTCACAAAATACATGGATGAAAGGAAGTTATGCTGCTGAGGTCCAGCTGAACGTGTATTTCTGATTTACTCTGATTAAAACCCTCCTGATCATCCACAGACTCCTGATTGTGAAGGAAGGACTCCTTCAAACAGGAATGTTTGAACTAATGTGTAAAAACAGGCAAAGGGTTCGAAGCTAATCAGACAAATTCATCATAGAAGCTGTTCTCATCAGCACATTCAGCTAAGATTCATCAGTGAACCAGGAAGCAATAACCAGCAGCGCTGTCAAACAACGATGGATGAACCAATCAGACACCAGCGTACAGTGGACACTGGTCTCAGTGATCATGGAGCTACTTTCAGCTGCAGACACCATTAATGACCAGCTTGGTAACAACCCACTGAGTGCAGGACCCCAGTTTTAATAAACTCCAACTCTACTTCAATCCATGAGCTCTACACAGAGGTCATTAACCTCCACCAAAACCTATGTCATGGTGCCCGGTGCTAGATAAACTCACACAGTGCTCTGTGCTGTAGTACCGGGTGGACCAACCAGCGACTACAGCTGATCTGCATTACATTTTTTGACGCGTGTTCTTAATCTGCTGCCTTACTGGTTAATACAGCCATGTATAATTGCCTTAATTACTGATGCCAGTCATTAACATTCCCCCTGAGGATCCTGAGAAACGTCGGCAGCATCACCACTCAGACTGCGTCTTCTGTCATTTGAGTTCAGGACATGGTCACTGAACAGTGAAAACGTCCTCTGAAGTCCGGTTCCGTGGCAGCGTGGAGGAGACTGATAGAAGACCTTTACTTTAGAGTTTGAGGGCCAACAGTTCTTTGGTTCTGAAATCTAAAGGCCTTCACGGTGTGTGAGGCCTTTGGAAAGCTCTCAGTTGTGTTAACGTGGCAATGTTGTGACTGAACTCACTAAAAACAGCAACAAGCAGGTCTCTGCTCACGAACATCATCCTCATTCAATTTATCTCAGTCTCTTTAACACCCAGAAAAGTCTCGGCACACTTAATGAGCTAAATCTGGGAACGCAGCCTGTCGAGCTGAAGCCTGAAAACTGCTGAAAGGATCTGCATTGGACCCAGCAGGTCACACGGTGTTATCAGTTACACAAACCACCCAGTAAAGGGTGACACACAATCACAGCTTCACACTTCCAGTCACATTTACAGCCTCAACCACATTTTCGTCTCACAGTTTTTCCACTTTCTGTTGTGAAACCGCGACACCACAAACTGCCATCACCACCTCGCTGCCGCCGCCAGCTTCAGTGTGGTTGGAGTCAGAAGCAGCAGCTGCTGCTGCGACCGCAACACCACCAGAGAAGTACACAGCTACACAGCAGTGAGGACTCATCAGCCACAGAGCATCACCAGCACTTCACTCATCGGATGCAACAGTTCAGCACCAGAACCATACAGAACTAAAGTCCAGTTCTACATGAACAAACCTGCAGATAGAGCAACAAACATTCATACAAAACAACACAACAAGCCTTTTTCAGCAACACACATTCATGCCCGTATGTGGAGCGTCTTTCCCACCACTGACACACTTCAGCACCACCTTCATCCTGTGGGGGGCGCCGGCCTCTACAGCCTCCAGTGTGTTCTCCAGACCGGTCCTGCCGGAGCTCACTAACCTGAAACGACTCATCAGGCTTCAACTGTGAACCACACAGCTGAAGAACCACATGGACCTACAGGAGGATCCACCCGGAACATCTGGACCTACAGGAGGATCCACCCAGAACATCTGGACCTA